CCCGATATTTTAGATCGATAAGGAAAACGGCTTTCAGAATTCCCTTGACTCAACGAAAAGCTTGCGCAGGAATCAGAAATGAATTTAGAAGAGCAGTGCTTTCCTTCAATAATATTTTAGTAGATAGAAGTTCAAAAACAATTTTATTACGAAGGAGATGGAACGCCTATACATGATCCTCAAAAAGAATATGAGATTGAATTTTTTAATGCATTACTTTGCAGCAGTTACGTTTCCGGCAGTTAGAGCTCTTTAAAGATTTTGGATTCTATAATATATCAGAATTGATAAATGCGAAAGAGACCTAAAGGAAAAATGTTGTCAATTAAATATTTTATTCACATAGGATAGGTTAGAAAGCGATATTAATTCAGCAAGATCTGCTAATTGAATTAAAAATTTTAGTGGATATAAACAGGCATCCAATAAAAACTCCATTGGAAATTTTAGGCTATAACACTAATAGGTTAAATGAAGCCTTACCAAAAATCCATTATATTAAGGATTACTTAAACTATTCCAACTACAGTGGCATCCGCAAAACGCAGCTTCTCGCTCAAATTAATTAAGTTACCCATGATTCTGTAAGGCACAGAACCGCCAAATGCTCGCATGTCTTATAAAGAAGACAATAAAAAAACACTTTACCTTAAAAATTGGTTTGGCAATATAAACTTTATTAATATGCATTTCACATGTTCCTTATTATCAGATTATTGTTGTTAAAAATTAGAAGTGCGATAAAAATATATTTGGTATGAATTATTATATATTTTCGAATCGAATATAAATAGTAAATTTTATTATTTGCAATAGAATATGAATGATTCAATATTTGACTCGTATTTGTTTTTGAATTGGCCTAATTTAGAGAACAACAAGAATAAGACACAACTTTTGGGAATAGCTCATTGTTCTAAAGTCAATTAAGCTTAATTTTTTAAGAAAAATATATATTATTATTGTGTTATTTATATAATTTTGGTTGCAAATATATATCATAGAATATTTTTTCATTATCAATAATTAAGGGTGGTATAGTTTTTTAGTTTAGCTATTTATTTAATTAAATAATATTTTCATTTAAATTCCTTTGATTAAAATTAGTAAAAAATTTGTATAATAAAAAAAAAAAATTTAAAATGATGGGTTTTATAAATTATTTAAAAGCAAATATCAATTTAACTAATTAATTTTGAAATTTACCTGTAACTAGTTACCTATTGGAGAAAGTGTAATTGTAACAAGTTGCTTTCCAAAAGTATCTTACCAACACTATAAAATATGAAGTATACTTATTTTAATTTTTCAAATAAAGTGAAAATTTCTTAATCGAAAATCGTTATTTAATTAAGAAAAGTAACTTTTGATGTTTAATAACTAGATTTTTCGATAAATAAATATCATTATTAAATGTTTTGTCTATAATCAACTTATACTAGCCTCACTATTTTTATTTGTGATTTCTCATTTGTATGCAATAATAGCTAATTAATAAATATCCTCCTCGGGCTTTCTGCAAGTCATTAGAGAACAAAAGGATGAACACAAGAAAGAAAAAAGTTAGCTTTTTATAGTAATATTTAATAGTATAGAAAAATATTATAGCGATAAGCTCTGAGCATAACAGAAAATGCCTTCTTCGAGAATTTCAATTTGACGTTATATTCTTAACTTTGGTTTTATTTGCACTTTTTAATGCATATCCCACACACATTTTTTAGCTTTCCCCAGATTTTATATTATCATATGGTTTTCAAAAGCGTCGCCATTTCGGCCTCGTGAACTTATAAATAAATATATATAGAAATAGCTTTTAAGCATAACATTCTCGACTTACGCCTGGCTATAAGTCACATCTAACGGGAATGACATATACTTATCCTCGTCCCAACTATATCGTCCTTCATTTTATCTAATCTTTTTTCCCATGAATTCCTCAATCTCCATCGCAGGTGATGACCTACCTTAACCTTCAACACCTGGACAAAAACTGTCCACAATCTCACATCAGACCAGCCCCTTCCCTACATAAAATGACTGTGGTTCTCAACTTGTTGCCCGTTTGATAAGCTCCTTTATGAACGATCACAATGAAGTCAACCCCAACTTAATTATTTCTAGAGCGAAAACTATACTTGCATTAATTTCTCAACTAAATCTAACAATTCACAATTTGCCTTAGCTCACGCCAACTTAAAAAAACAAATACTCTGACCTTTAAAATGCAATTTTCATGACTATAATTACCAACACCTTAGTAATCTTTGGGGACGAGATTATTTAAAAAATTAAAAATCTAGGGGAAAAAATATTCGTAGTCATAAGAGATTTAAATGATGGGTTTATCTATAACAGCGCCAGGAGCGTAAAATCAGATGCCAGCTTAAACACTTTTCAAAAATTTTACTGATTCTAGCTCTCATCGCATATATATTCCAATTTCCATTTATTTAACATATTCACAGTAGAAATAAATATACTACTATAAATTAATATCGAACAAATTTTCTAGTTATATTTATCCACCATTTTAAAATTTTCTACCAAATCATATGAAACCTTTTCACTGCAAAACTAAATTAAAGTATTCAGGAAAATGATATCAATTTGATTGAGACTATGCAAATATCTGATAGCATTATATTGGCATTTAAGGAAATTAGAGCAAATGTAGATAATGAATTTCATAAATGAGATGTCATTGTTGAGCCAAAGCAAAGCTCGAATTTAATATTGCTCGACTTGCAGCAACAAGTCCATCGTTCCAATATAATGTCAGCTAAAGAATATTATAAAATAAATCTTTTTATTTCCTTTTGGGATGCCTTTGTAACTCAATTGATGGATGGTTCTTGATATCAGGCAGCATTTAATCTGCAAATATCGTTACCGCACCCTGCGATCTATTTCAAATCTTGTAGAGAAAAATTAAATATATTGTAGATTTTAATTGTGAATATGTTAAAGTATCCCATGATGTATTACTTTTATCATTTTGAAAATGTTATGTAAAAAAAGATATTAATTTTCTGTAAAGACTAGTGACGCCACTAGTATAAAAGTAAATATGGTTGACAATGTTCCAAAAATGGTATAGATGCTTCGGATGATTTCAAACAAATTTTAAACTATTTCCCTAAATATAAAAATTATTGTATACTTTGGAAACTGCAACCATTTGTATTCTATCAATGAAAAAACATTTTCTTTTTTTTAACAAGAATGAAAACATACCTTATAAGTAGTCTTGTTAAATGGCTCGATTTGAGCCGATTTTTAATAAAGGCAACTCAATAATTTAGCCAGAAAAATATTGCCTACGCCTTGTGATTTCGCTAATAGATGTCCAAATTTGTGCCGTCTATAAGAAAATCCTCAGGCTTGTGTAATATTTTCTGAATAAAATATTAAATTAGTCGTTTAAAACGGCTCAAATCAAGGAAGGTAAGAATGAAATGATGTTTTTTATTGAGCGAAACAATAAGATTACGTAATTTTTCTGCTAGAATGCGAACACTGTGAGGTATTTTGGAGAATGTAGACACAAATGGATTAGATAAAATCTATTGGGGTTGAGGAAGGTCAATAGATGAATTTTGATTTTCATTTAGGTCACAATATTTGACATAATTGGCAAGATCGAATCTTTGAATAAGGCAGGGAAGCAATGTGGTGCTAAAAAGGATTATGGAGATAAACCCCAAATGCTGGGCATCTTGATAATCTGAAACCATGAAGCAATCAGTTTACCTCGTTTGGTGAGAATATTAATTGGGCCAGAGGAGGGGCAAAATAATTAGAGGCCATATATTTTATCTTTAATAATTTATGTTGCCATGCTTATGTATATGGCAATGCATGAAGTGTGTAGATATATATACTTTCAATATTTTTCCATTCTATTTAAGGTTGATTTAGTGTTAAACAAAAATATAGAAATTGTATTTCAAGTTAATATAATTTTCAATTTAATTCTTGACCTTTCCCGTTTCGGCTTGAATTTCAAAAAAGGCCTGTAGGGGTGAAAATTTTAAATATTCAGTAATGAATTTGAAAATTTATAGATGTTAATTTATTTTACTCTATTTATTAGAAATAATGATATGAAATGAAATGAATAATATATCCACCTCCCTAATTTTTTAAAACTTTACTTATTTTTTAAATTATATTTATAATTGATTTTTATTCAGGCAAAAAGTGTAATGGAAATATAATATTAATCTTTTTGGGGTAAAGGCCAGGCTGTATATTTAATAGATGATGTTTCCGCCGGAACGGTGGTCCTATAGGACTCTAAATCATACCCCATTTTGAATCTTGATATAAATCTGAAATGGCTGGAGTAAAAGAAATGTTCCTAAGGTTCATTTAAAACACCTTCAATATTTTATTTTTAAAAAAATGATGGACGAAAATTTTAAAATGTTTTTATTAACAGAATACTATTTTCTAGATAAAAGAAATAATTTTATTAAATTCTCCGATTTAAAAAGGCTATTATATTTATCATTAAACAACCTTGGAATACATTTTTTTAGATATTCATTCATTTAATGATTTTAATTAAAATTTTTGTTGTAACATGAATGTGATGGATATAAATGGTTGTTGTGGGAAGTAAATAAATTATAAGTATTAATTAATTATATAATGGATTTTATAGAATAATCAATCAGTAAGTTATTATAAAATTTATTTTTAGGATGGGTAAAGACTAAATATATACACATAAGCTAAATAATAATAATAATACCTAATCATAATAATATTAACCGTTTAAATATAAAATAGACTAGCTTGAAACCCTATATAAAATTGGTAGTGTATCGACAGATTAGCCATTGAAAAATAAGACGGCTAATTAGTCTTAGCCAACCATTTTTATGGCTATTGCTAATTAATCGTATGGATTCTTATTGGCTAATAAATAAGTTAAAAAAAGCTTAATTCGGTCAAGCTTAGCCTTTATAATATATTTGTAAGAATACACATACCAAGTTTGACGCGCCCGTCTTCTGTGAAGAGAATGTTACCAGCCTTAACATCGCGATGTATCCTGCCCAAATTATGGAGGTAGTCTAGTCCGGATAGAGCACCTATGCATACAGCTCCAATTTCTTGTTCACTTAAAGGTGGAGGGGGGCGGACTTCTGACTCGATTCCAGGAAGTCTAAACATAAATATAAAGCTTATAATAGATAAGTTGAGTGTCGATGGTGTTTAAGAATTAGATATCATAGAATGATGCATCGTTTTATTAAGTCATATTTAATTAAATTTTGGCATATAATTTTGTCTTAGAAAAAAAAAATTATATGCTTTTCCTTTTTTATAATATATTATATTAGTTATATTTAATCAAATAGAGAAACAATTGAAATAATAAAAAAACTAACAAAATATACAAATTTAATAACAATTATTAAAAAAAAATTTATCAGTTGAAGAAGATTTTATTTTCATTTTGAAATAATCGCATAATTTAAAAAATATATATATTTTAAAAAAATTTTAAAACTTATATAATAGAAAAATATTTTTAAAATAAATATATATTAAAAAATATCATATCATGATGTCATTACCGCGAAATGTATTATCACGAATGCATTATCGAGATAATATTGCCGCTAAATTATTAACCCTTCAATACTCTGGCTAGGGTATATGAAACCCCAGGCATGTTAGAAATGATATTACGTAAAAATGGTTAAATATTATGATCTATATTCTTTAGTAGCTTCATCAAATATATCTTAGAATCTATATTCCAAATTTCATATATTTAAGTAGAGTAGTTTTTAAGATATAAGCATTTTGTAACTGATTGGGGTTTGTAAGAACCCACCCGAGTTAAATTTGTAAATTTTTTAAGAAATATTTTTTTAAAATTATAAATATATACTACTATATTATAAAATTTATTAAAACAAAATTTAAATATCTTATATTTTGAATGAGATATATGAAAAAGAAAACGTAAAGATTTTCTCTGGTGGAGTTTATTATTATTTTTCAAATTATTTTTATCATATATAATGATTTTTGCAGATTCTGAAACTAAATATATAATTATTTAAGATGCATCATTTTATTTGAGGTGATTATGACAATATAATTAATAGTGAGGATGAAGATTTTATATATGATAGTGATCATGATACACAATCTGAATTAGATGAGAAAGAAATGTTAGTTGAAGAAAATAAACTTAATATTATTTAGGTTAATATGAAATCATTTATTATAGTATATTTCTCTTTAAAATTAGGTAAAAAAATAAGTTTTAAATGGAAAAAGGATCTTCCTAATCAAAGAATAAGAACTCATCAATAAAATTTAGTTATTCATCTGCCAGGAGTAAAAGAATAAGAGAAGCTGACACTCCAGAAAAATGTTTTGACTTGTTCTTAACACAAAAATGATTGAAGAGATTATTTAATACCAATGAAAAAATTAAAATTATATGTAAAATCTATACTGACCAATATGAAAGTTCTACTAAAGAAGTTGATGTAACACAATTCAAGACATCATTGGGAAACTTTATTTAGCTAGAATTTTTAAATCTAACCATCAAAATAAAAAAAAAAAAATATTTTTTCAAATATGTAAAATAAATTTATGTTTTATGTAATAAATGTTTTACATGTCAAAACATATTTCAATGTTCTATATTTTTTTTCATGTTTGAATGTATTAGTGTAATATTTTTTATGTTGAAGAATAAAGATCCATATTTTGAATTATCATGATTATTTAAATTTTTAATTTAATATTTGAAATTTTAAAAAAGTAAGATTTTTTTAGAAAATTTTGGCACAAATTATAATTATCCTCATCATCTTTAATCTAAGCTTAAGAAATAAAAATAAATAAATATTTTATTAAGTTTAAGGTTAGTTCTATCTTATATCCAAATATTAAATAAAAATAATGAATATAACTGGAGATATATACATTTGAAATTGGGATCCATTAAACCCCACCTGAGTACTAACGTCATTTTTTTCACCGGAGTATTGGGTTAAGAAAAATAATAATAGTAATAGGAATTGAGATTTGCAAAAGTGGGCCCGGCCCGTACCCGGCCCAAACGGGCTTCGGGCCTAATTTTTTTTAAGAAAATTCGGGCCGGGTCGGGCCTTAAAATTTTCTTAAAATATATCTAAATTTATCAATTTTATGTTGTATTTTTTATGTAAAATAAAAATATGTGACTTTATTTATAGAAAGTAGACGCCAAATAATATATATCGTTTATTTTAAGAAATTATAAAAATTAATTTCTATATTTAAATAAATTACGGGCCGGGCCGGGCTTGAAAAATTAGGCCCGATGCAGATCACTAATCGGAATACTACAGATTATAACAAAATTTTAAAAATGCAAGATAATAAGCTATTATAACCATGATTTTTTTATATGCAAAGCTTGTAAACTTTAATTTTTATATAATATTAAAGTTCATATCCTATAATTTATCGATTTTAAAATTATTTTCTATTAAATAAAATCAAGCCAAAAAATATCTGTCTGAAAATATCTAGGGTTGTGTCAGGGAACTCCGGGTATGAGGAAATTCCGAACGAACAGTTCTAATTATTTTAATAGTAGATTTGATAATTTTTGGTGGTGTTTTAAATTTAAAGCACAATATGAGATATGTTTAAATAGTTAATAATTAGAAATTTTATTCTCGAAATTTTTTAATATTTATATAACATCTGAGTAGTATAAGTTTTAAAAAAACCAATATGACAATTCTTACTTTTCTATCGTTCGTCTTCACTGAAATTTTAATTTAACATATTTACGATATATATTTTTCCATTTACGTCAAAAAAAATTTTAAAATAACTTTTATAATTGTCACTCTTCTAGGGTTCATCTTCAATGAACTTTTAATTTAACATTTTTACAAAATATATTTTTACCTATTTTCTTAAAAAATTCAAAAAAGTTTTTTAAAAAAATAACGATTATGATATTTCCATTCTTCTATGGTTGATCTAGACCCGTCCATTAAGAAGATTATCTAGTGAGTCAGCCTCAAAATTAAAAAATGCAATTAACTTACCCGCTCATAATATTACTATCTAAATATTATTTATTATTATCTTTATATGTTTAGGAGTAAACCCATTGATCTAAATTTTGGGTCAGGTGAAAAAAAAGCGGCCATCACCTTGGGTCTTGTTTATAAAAAGACCCAGATTTTGGATCGAAGTCGAAAAAAAGACCCGAACTTTAAATCGGAATAGAAAATAACGACCCAAATTTTGAGTTATTTTTTTGGTCTTTGATCTGAGTCGAAGCCGAAAAAATTATCTCAACCCAAAATCTGGGTCAGCTCTGTTCGAGTCATTAACAACAATAAGCTTAGTCTATTTTTATAGACAATAATTGTCAAAATAATATGTCCTTAAAAAAAGAAACAATTAGGTATAGAGTAATTTGACTGTTGTAAGATTGCCTCAAGTCATGCAAATAGTCTTGTTTTTATTGAATTTAAATGAACTTGTTATTATAAGTTTGATTTTATGAATATGCAAGTATTTCTCATAATAGTATTTTTTTTGAGTATTTAATTTTTTTAAATCGATTTTTTATTATTATAGGCAAATAGTTTTTTTTATGTATAATTAGTAATTTATAAAAAGTAAATCGTCTGGTTTTGGCAAAGTAATATTTAAACTAAGCGTATTTAAATTTTTGTAAAATGATTAAATTATGTTTATATAAAATAAGATTTTTTTTGTTATAATATAATATTTTATGAAATAAAATAAAATAAAATTTAATTATTCTTCGAATATTTTTGAAATTAATCAAGATATCTTTCTTAGATTTGAAATTATTCATTTAATTAACTAATTAGTTTACTTAATTTTTTGATTATTATATAATTTCAGTCAGTTCTTTACCACAACTTTTAAAAACTTCTATTTATGTTTAACAACCCTGTATTGCATGTCCTATGTTAGAATAATTTTTTTTTGGCAAACTAGATTTTTTATTGCTCTTGATACTATTGATAATCTCATATTCTAAATTTCTTAGAAGATGAAGGGTATATGGACTAAAATAAAATACACATTATGCAATTAAGGATATAAATTTCAATTTTTTCCCCTGTACTCTAAACTATAAATATATATAATTTTATTAAATACAACAAATATTAAATGTTTAAACATTTTAATTTTCATGAAAATCTATAAAACAATATTTGTGTGCGTAAAACATAAATACACCGCATTTTTTGCAAGATACTTTTGTTATAAATAAGCATCCTGGCATTTTACATCTACCCTTCTTATCATTATATTTGGGCCAATGAGCCGTGAGGTCTTTCCTAACCTCTTCATTTGGTAAATATTGGGCTGGTCCTTTTTTACATTTTTCCCGATAACCAGTTTGAATTGATTTTCGTTTTGGTATATTGTTTGAAGTGCATTTGCCATATTTGCAAAGGACTTCCGCCACCGAAATTTTGAAATTGTACAAACTTAATCGATCCTTGCATGCTATTGATATACTATTACAATCACGTTTATATAGCAACCATGAATTTATAAGTAACATATCAAATATATGAAATAAAATTTTATGGTACCCTTTTCTTGATTTCGTATGAATTCTATATAAGGAAAGTAAAGAATCTATGACATCTACACCTTCCATTGATTTATTATAAATTTTAACAATATTTGGACATTTTATCATGATTTTATCCTTTTTCCTATCATATCTTTCACAGTCTATTAGAGGATGTGTACCTACAAAAGTGCTTAATAAAGTCAAAGCATTGTCGTGCCACTTCACTGAATTTAGCTCCACTCGGTTTATTATTGCTTTTTTTTAAACAAAAAATCCACGCCCTTTTTTTCAACTCCTTATCTGTTGGGAAGTTTATATTTGGAAGTCGATTACCTCTGACCGTGGCCGCGCAAAATATCCCTCTTTGAGCGAGTACGACTAGCAAATTTGGGGAACAAAACCAGTTATCAAAAAATCATTTATAATAATTTGCTGAATAAATTAAACGGAGCACAGCATTGCCACTTGCTCCAACGTCATATCCTTCTGCTGGTAGTATTTTCCCAGAATATACTTCAAAATTATGCAGAAGGCCATCATCTCCGCATAGTAGAAAGACTTTATAG